CCATAGTTTCCTTTTTAATCAATGAGATGTCGAGCTTTTACTTAAATAAACAAAAACAGTCTAAAGTTATGGGCACGCACTGAGACGGTCTGAGGATCACCCGATAGGGAACGAGTCGGACTTTAAAAAATTAAATTATAGGGCAAGCGAGCACGAAAGGCACCAAAGGGAAGGTGAAGGAATGTCATCAATAAGGACCTAACTGAAGCGTATGCCACGGCAGAAGAGGCACTGTGTCGGAACAAAATCTTTTCTTCCCCTTCTTTTTCCTAACGCTAGGAACGAGTTGACGAAAACAAAGTATAAACATCTCAGCATACTTCTAATTATTTTTATTATTTTTAGGCCTCTGACGACGACGATACAGTCGGAACCTCAGGCCACTTCAATAAAAGCTCCACCTATCGGCTTCGAAAGTCGCATAAAATGTTATCACGGATCACAGCACAGTTACTAACCTTTGATGTAGGCGTACATCGGCGTTCCCGCACTGTATGAAGGATGAAATAGTTGAGGAATAAGGAAATAGAAGAGAAGCATGGAGGATTGAGTGCGTCGAACTGAGTGAAAGTGATCGACACTAGGCGACGAATGTTTGAATGATCTAAATTCGGGGCGAATGAACGAGATCAAGTGTGTTCACAGCGGAGGTTCTTGCAAAAAATAATAAAATATCCGAAAACATAAACTGAATACAACAAACAAAAGAAAAGAGAACAACACTATGGCTTGCTGCTGATAAAGTGCTAGGTGCGATTGCAGAGGTCCAGCTTTTCCGTCGGAAAGCTGGGACTCTAGCCTGAAGACGAGGAATTAGCTGATGATAGGCTTATGACCTATTCACCTCAAAAATCCCGAAGGAGCAGGCAGTGTGGGAAGGGAGCGGAAGAAACAATATCAGAAACTATTGAAGGATCGTATAGTTAAGGGATCCTTTCCGCAGTCGGTTACAGCGGCCCGCCTTTCACTTCACAATCGTCCGGATATTCGGTAAACATCGATCTCCCATGTTATATCTAGGTGTCCGCGAAGTGATATTGTTTCGAATATTTCTGACATTCGAATTTTTTGTGAGTACAAGGGCACCTCGCAGCGCTTCGCACGCTGAAAATCCAAAACGACGGGTCGTATTTAAAGGCACGGTCCGCGATCAGGTATCGAAGTTGAAAATATGGCGTCAGGAGGTTAGAGTGGTCCGCGACGAACAACCTTGTACCGGTTTCGCGGCAAAAAATTCTAAGGGAGGGGCGCTATAGCGCAATATAGGTTCAGTTTCCTTTTTTCCAGTGACTCCGCCTCCAATGCCCGGCTTTCAGTGAAAAACGAGATTGCAGGACGAAAAAGCATGAAAATCGTCACTTGTACGATCGTAGAGTTCTTATCGGTGAATCAGCTGTGGCGTAGTGTGGGAGACAGAGTTAATTGGGCACGTACAAACTGGGATCAAAATGGGGTTCTATCTAGGGCAGGTGGCATGTTTTTTGTGCTTTTTTTTCTTCACTGTCGAGTACCTCCTTGTCGTCTATATGGAACCCCCTAATCCACTATCTGAAATGGCGAATAATCGCAGGTTCTGCCTTTAATCGCTTGAGGGGGGAGGCACAATTGGTCTGATGAATGTCTTCTTTGATAAGTGACTTTGTTCTTTTCACGAGTGCCATCTACATCGGTGGGAGACCTCAATTGAGTGGAGATTGATTGTATTTGCACGCCGCTTTGGGAGGGAGAACACATCTGGTCTCAAAGGCTAACTGCACGTTCAACTCGATCCTGGTTTGCGGCGCCCTCATAGTTCTGGTTGTTCTCTACCGCTAAGTACGTGTTTCGCTGCAGGACCTTGGTATCCACGCAAGTGCTGCACCTTGAGGATATCGCCAACGGAATACGGAGGCGACACTCGGGAACCACTACTCTCCTTCCCCGTTTCCGTGCTTTTTGGAGTGAAGAAAGTGGCACGCTACTGCGGAAGCACTCGGATAGCACATGGCAAAGACCGTCCTTGGAGGCAAGTTAACAGTTTGTTTTCGAAGGCATTGTGTATTGTATAATAATTTTAATGGGCTCGATTAACAAAGTGAGTCAAGCACTTAGGCCTTGAAACCTCGACTTTAAAGGCAGTTGGCACGATAAATCTCTAACGAGTGGGACCAATACACCTGGCAGAACGAAATTCCGCTCTCCTGAGGAAGCGCCTGAGATTCCTCTGATTTTTGGCATACAGTTAGATGCAGTTAAGCAACAGTTATATAAGAATGCTGAGTTGTGGGCAAAAGTCGTGC